CGGCCCCCCACCCACGGCCCCCACGGCCCCCCGCTCACTAACCGCTTCCTGTAGCGTTTGTCTGGTGTAACCCCGACCGCCCCAACATCTGGCAATAAACTGGGAGACCCTGGCAGCCCCGACACTGCAGGCAGGGGAAGGGGGGCATTGGCAAGGGGGCAGCTGGGGGGGGCAAGATGTGGGGTGGCACCTGCTTGTGGGAGACAGGGTTTTGCAGGGAACAGGGCTCAGGGATGTGGGGACACCTGGGTTCCTCTCTTGGGGTGACTCAGGGTGGGGGGACAGGCTGCCGGAGCAGTGGGGTTTCCGTCCTCCTCCACCGCAGGATGTGGGTGCCTGCAGGCTGTACCAAACCTGGGTTCCCCTGTGGGCCTGGGGCACCCCACACAGCTGAGGCTGGCCCCGCTTCCCGGCCCCACGCTGGCCCCAAGGGGCAGATTTCAGCCCAGAGGCTTTGGGGGTCCTGCCTGACCCCAGCCAAGAGTGGGGGCTGCAGGGGGTGGGTCAAGATCTAGCCATACCCCACCGTGAGCTGCTGACGTCAACACCTTTGGTGCTCTCCGTTCCCTGCGCTGTGCCACAGGGACGGTCCTGAGCTGGGGAGAGCTGCAGGGACAAGGGGATGAGGCAGCCCCTGGGCCCAGGCATGTCACCAGGAGAAACCAGAGGCTCAACCTGCCCCGGACCCCTCAAGCTGCCTGAGCCCAGTCCCAGCGGGGTGCCAGCCGGGGGGTGCACGTGCCCTGTGCCCTGCACCGGCAGCTCCTGGGCAGGCCAGCTCCAGTCCATGCCATGGGGACCCATGTGGTGCCCTGAAGAAGCCCCTGGCACACTGTGCTTAGGGTGGCTGACAACTGTCCCTGTGCCCTGGCTGGGCATCAGCATCCCACCATGCCCACCCAGCACTGGCACCCATCACCCTCCAGCAGCACCGTGGCCACCCTGGGTGGTCCGTGACCATCCTGCCCATGGAGGGACAAGGGGGGAGAAGCGCCACCACTTGCCCCGGCCATCCTCAGGCGCAGGGCTGGGGCAGCAGTGCCATGCCAGAGGGGCTGTGTCCTGTGCTCCAGGGCACCGGGGTGCCGGAGGGGCTTGTCTTGGGGCGCCAGCTCACCCCACCATGATACCCTCTCACCCCGCCAGGGCAAGCCGGCAGTTCCTGCCCCACCGGCAACGCACACCGTAATTAGCGCGGGCAGGGCGGAAGCATCAGTGATAATTGGCGGTGACTCGTTACCGTTGGAGCGCCATGTGCCCAGGGTGCAGCAGGACTTTCCGGCAGGGCTGGTCTGCAGGATCGGCTGGTACTCCGGTGCGCCGGCTGCCGTCCGGGGCCTGGCTGGCTCCTTGCCGCCAGAGCGGGGCCGGGGCTGGGTGCGGGGGCGAGCACTGTCATCACCTTTGCTTCATGCTGCAGCACGCCCTGGCCCCACCAACCCCTTGTAAAAGGCACGGCTGCGGGCTGGTGTCGGGGCACTGCCAGCACAGACGGTGACAGCACAGGGACCGTGTGGAGGTAGACAAAGGAGAGGCAGAGGACAGGGGATAAGGGGGTACCAGGGGTCCCCTTGGCTGGCCAGGCTTTCTCCACGGGTTTCCCGTAGCACCCACGCGAGGTGACTTGACGTGCGTCGTGCCCTCGCAGGGGCAGGCGCCCGCAACACCATGAACCGGATCACAGTGTACGAGCATGCCAACTTTGAGGGGCTGAGCCGGGAGTTCACCTGCGACGTGCCCGACCTGCACGAGCTGGATTTTGGGGACTGCATCGCCTCCCTGAAGGTAGTGGGGCAGCCCTGGATCGCCTACACGGACCCCAAGTACGAAGGGGAGCCGCACGCCTTTGAGGAGGGCGAGTACCCCTCCGTGGGGCGGCCCAACAGCTTCTCGGCGCTGCGTCTCGTGCACCATGACCTGGGGGACCCCCAGATCACCCTCTACGAGCAACCCAACTTCCAAGGCGCCTGCAAGGTGGTGACAGAGGAGACCAACTTGGCATATGGGTACTTCAATGACCGGGTGGCCTCTCACATAGTGCAGCGAGGGGTCTGGCTGCTCTACCAGCACCCCGGTCGTGGTGGCTGGCACTGCCTGGCATGGCCCGGCGAGCGTCTCGCTGACTACAAACTCGAGCTGAACTTCCAGGCTCGGCTGTCCCACCTGCGCCCACTGCGGCCCGGGCGGCCCCTGGTCTCGGCGCATCTCCTCTGGGAGCAGAAGCGGGTGGAGGCAGAGCGGGAGGTGCTGGTGGATGAGATCGAAGGGGTGAACGAGACGGAGTCAGAGCAGGCACTGGCAGCCAGCAGCAGCCGGGAGTACGGCACCACGCTCTGGCAGAGCTTCCACTTCAGCAACGCCACCAGCCTCAAAGCCGGGCTCTCCTTCACGCTGACCGTGGAAGCCTCCAACATCTTTACAGTGCAGAAAGGGCGCAGTGAATCCAGCACCCGCCGGGAACGCGTGGAGGTGCAGCTGCCAGCTAAGATCCCCCCACGCACGGCGCTCAGCATCCAGGTCTTGCGGAAGGAGGTGACGCTCTCCGTCCCGGTCCTGCTCACCATCACCCAGAACGAAGCCGTTCGTACGGAGATGGGCGAGTACCGCAGCGTTTCGGGTACCAACATCAGTGCCCGCTATAGCTTGAAGCCTCTGCCAGCTGCAGGCAGGGAGCAAGCAGCCACTGAGGGGACGGAGCCGGTGCCCGGCACCGGGATGGATCTGTAACTGTTAGCTCCATCCCGGTGCCGGGCACCGGCTCCGTCCCCTCGGTGGTGTGGGATCCCTGGGGACACTGGCGCTGCGTCGGACATGGGTCGGCTCCGGCTGGCAGGACCTGTCGGTGCCTTCTGCCGCCGGGTATTGCCAATAAACCCCCTTCCCCAACCCCTCCGGTCTGCTGCTGCTGCTGGGGCTGGGGTGGGAGTGGGCTTGGGGGGG